AAATTAAGTAAGACTTTGGTCAAATGGATAATTTTCCTATGAGTGTGTCTTTGAAACAATCTTTAATTTGGAATTTAAGTAGTTACTTTTCTACCTCAATTTTTATTTTCAGCTTCCATGTACGTGATTACCATCCATTCATATATATTTTAGGTTACTGTAGCACATGACTTTGCCATGTCGTAACCCTGCTGCATTACTTTATCAAACTAATTATTTAGTGAAATGTGTACACTAAAATGATTTTAATCGGTTGCCATGAAATCCTAGTCTTCCTTGAATTTGTAATTTACTAGCTAATGCCAGGGGATAAACAAACCAACTCTTGAATCAACTGACTGAATCTCAGTAGTCGATACGAAGATGCAGGAGAGTAAGAAGTGCTTATATTCACTAAGCTAAGCAGAATGCTTTCACAGTAATAAACTTAAAGCTCTATCTTTAAGCTGCTTATTAAAAAGTCAAAAGCTAATAATTGACTTGTGATTATTTTTTTCCCTAGGAAAGTGGTATTTTTTTACCATTTTTGGGGGTAATGGCCATTTTTAGTCTTTCTTACTGGATCTTAGCTGCTTTATTTGGTCTGTGATAATCTTCTAGTACTTAATGTCATGTTCCCTCAAACTGAAGGAAAAAGCAGTTCTACATTGCTAACACTCATGAAATACTTGATACAGTCGTCGTTAGCCATGTTGGTTACTCTTTCAATTAGATGCAATAAAAATGCAGCAATTTCATAATAAGTACCTTCTAATCAAATAGAATTTTTAACTTGTGTTTGGTTTCATGTGCATAATGCATAAGCAAAATAGTGCTCATGAAGCTAGTCACTGGACACTCCACTATTTATCATATTAAAGCAAAAAGGTTTTCATAATAATTAAAAAAGATATTGTGGTAGAGGCATACTGAAATAACTCCATCATTCCAAAAGAGAATTAAAAAGTATAATAGCATGCCTCAAATTATTGTGTAACTACTGTTTTCTCATGTTTATTCTACTTTGAATGCTTTCAACATAATGTGCTCAGTGAATGCCTTATAAATAAAAGACTGCATGGATCTTCATAATTGTGCCTACAACAGTCATGTTTCAAATCAATAAATAATCATTAGCTGACAGATTAATTCAAATTAGTATCTGCTGATAGTTCAGAAAAAGCATCCAAAGTTTGGGGCTTTTTTATTTGGAAACTTTTCTTTCTAAAGATAAGGATTAGATTCCTCAGTTGAACATGGTAGTACATGAAAACACAAACCCCGCAAGTATCTTTCAGATAATGATAGTTTCACATATCAAATTTTGGTGTTCTGGGTTCAATGATAGATGTGAAAGGTGGGAATAATGTCATTAGTAAGAATGTATCACAGTAAACATTCATTCTGGTTTTGGGAAGAGTAAATCTTGAGTTAATGTATGCTTCTGAGTGAACTCTGTCCACTTTTTCATGGTGAAAAGGTCAGAATTTTCTTAATTTTTCTCAAACTATATAATCATACAATATGTTTTCAGCCATCATAGGGATGGGATTTCAGAACTACAGTAGTACTTACTATCTCTAATATTTTTGTTCTTTCTTTCTTTCCCTTAATATGAGCTCTCAAATAGCACTTACACAGTTATTTTCTGCTTAAAAGTTTTAAGACAGAGATATCCTAAACCCCAACATTCTCTAACCTTGATTTTTTTTAAATTAAAGATTTTTTTTAAATTAAAGTAGTCCTCAAAACTGTGTCCGTTAAGATAAATTGCAATGTAGAGAGGGTAAAATACTTGTATGTGAAGATTTGAAGGGCCTTTGATATCTTACATGTCATGCAAAATAGGTAAAATGCAAGATCTGCAATCAATCCTTTTAATGTGAAATAAATTTCAGGAAAGAGGAGCTTTATTCAAGGAAGAATTGCTCTTATTGAAGTTGCATGTCTGAAGATTCTTTTCAAGACTTTATCTTGATAATCTTAAGAATTTATCTTAATAATTCAAGTTTGCTGTCTGAGATGATTTGGCTGTTTAAACACAGATTTGTAAGACAATTCAAAACTTAAGTCCCACTAAACCTTATGTAAATCTTTACTTAGTAGTGTGCCCTGTCTATCTTAATAGTAACAGGTTTTGAAACCTGGAAGTAAAATAATGGTTGTTTAGGGAAAAAACCTCTGTGATATTGTCTTTCTTACTAAATCAAATATTATTTCCTTCAAGGGTCAAATACATGGTGAGATAAAGTAGATTTGGAGATGTTCTTGTTTTAATTCCAGAGAACTACTTTCACTTTAATCAGTTTTCATTCTAAGGTAACAACCCCAAAGTGAAATTCCACAACAGGGGTAAGATGTAACAAATGGTGTGGTCAGAGCTATTAAATTTGAGTAGAAAAGAGAAATATCCAAACAAAGCAACTCCGTCTTTGCCTATTTTGGAATATCATAAAAAGTGTGAAAAACATGTAGGCATGAATTTGTTGGTATACATAATATCAGCTGTTGAACAACCTTATCCCCAAAGAGTCCCTTCCTAGAACAGAAAATTATTCAACATATATTCAACTGTGTCTCATAGGAAGAATGGGGAGCAGCTTTCATGGCATCAAGTTATAAAGTAATTGCTTGGATTCCTGTCCCCACTAGTAATACCACAGACCTGATCACTTCATGTGAAACTGTTCTGAAGAATAAAAGTAAACAAGTCATTGCTTAAAATGTGGGAAGTGTGGAGGTGTTATTTTTCTATCCCATGTTCAGTTCATTTTAGGCTGGATAGAATCATTATTACTGATCACTGAATTTACTTATATATATGCTCTTTCTGTAGTAAAAGGAGATAAATAAAACTATATATTGTATCCATCCTGATATATGCTTCCTGTTTCATTAATGATTTTGATGATGATATGCTGTATAGTATTTGCATTTTCAGAAATCCCCTCTTCAAGTAAAATAAGATTTATTCTTTATGTGGGATTTTTTTGTTTTCTACATTTTGTCTATTTTCCAGTCATCCCTGAAGCAGAAATAGTTAGAGCTATCCTCTGAGATTCACTTTGCTCTTAAAGAAACAGATCATTTCCACTTTTATCTTCTCTTTGCAGCTTTTCCATGTGTATAGAATCATAGAATGTTTTGGGTTGGAAGGGACCTTACAGACCATCTAGTCCCACCCTCCCTGCGGCGGGCGGGGACCCCCTCCACTAGACCTCGTTGCCCAAAGCCCTGTCCACCCCTTCCAAGGAGGGAGCATCCACAACTTCTCTGGGCAACCTGTTCCAGTGCCACACCACCCTCACTGTGAAAAATTTCTTCCTCATGTCCAGTCTAAACTCCTTCATTTTAAAACCATGACCCCTTGTCCTGTCACTACAGGCCCTACTAAAAAGTATGTCCCCATCTTTCTTAGAGGCCTGCTTTATATATTGAAAGGCCACAATAAGCTCTCCCCAGAGCCTGCTTTTCTCCAGGCTGAATGACCCGAACTCTCTCAGCCTGTCTTTGTAAGAGAGGTATAATCTCGTAAGTATGGAGAAGAGAAGGTTCTGGGGAGACCTTAAAGCAGCCTTCCAGTACCTGAAGAGACCTACAGGAAAGCTGGAGAGGGACTGTTTACAAGGGCATGTGTTGAGAGGAAAAGGTATAATGGCCTTAAGCTGAAGAAGGGGAGCTTTAGATTGGATATTAGGAAGAAATTCTTCCCTGTGAGGGTGGTGAGGCACTGGAACAGGTTGCCCAGAGAAGCTGTGGATGCCCTCTCCCTGGAAGTGTTGAAGGCCAGGTTGGATGGGGCTTTGGGCAACCTGGTCTAGTAGAGGGTGTCCCTGCCCATGGCAGGGGGTTGGAACTAGACAATCTTTAAGGTCCCTTCCAACGCAAATCATTCTATGATTCTATGGTTCTCTCATAAGTAATGCATAGGAGGTGCGTGAGCTTGCTTATTGAATCATACTTTTAGTTAAACTGTTTTGGTATCCTGTCTCAGTATCCTGATTCCTACAGTAGCCAGTTGCAGATTCTTAAGAGGGATGCTCAAGAAACTGTATGAAATCATTATATACTTAAAATTTCTCATGAGGTGCTTCTCTGAAAATTTGCCAGTTATTGTTTTATACTGTAAAAAAATATTTTAGATCCATGTATTATTTTTTGTGTATAATAATCTACTAGTTTGTCTTTCAATTCTGATTTAAATGAAATAAATTCTAGTCAGTTCTCCTATTGAAAAAATGCTTGCACTGAGTACTTGTGTCTTGGCAGACTTTAACATTTTATTACCCAGCTTGCCCACCAGCTCCTGATTCACTAAGAGGAGGGTGAGTATTTCCACAGTGCCCAGGGCAATCTCTCTGTTTGGGAAAAACTGATACCCAGAGTCTGCCTCTGTCGTGTTCCCCCCATACCCAACAATCTGCTTGTCCCATTTCATTCTAGGAAGCCAGAGTCATGGTTATGTATCATCTGATGATTATCTAGTGTAGTCTGATGAAAGAACCAAGCAACTATCCTGTTGGCTTTGTAGGAATTAAAAAAAAATTCTGCTGCACTTTTCTGTCCTCTGGTCATATAGCCAAGCAGCCTTCTCCTCTATTGAGAGGTAGGAGGGAGTTTAAGAGGGAAAAAGTGCTTTAAAGAACTAAAAATTTCTTTCATCTGCAGCCACAGACAGGACCTTCACAAAATCTTGGCTGGATCTCACACAGTTTTCATTTGTCACCACTGCACAATACAGTCAATACTGGTTCTGTTGTATTCTGGAGTACTTACTTTCATTTAAGAACCAAAATGTATGGACTAGAATTCCTTACTGCTTTAAATGTGCTTTATTTTGTATTGTGAACATTGCTTTTAATCTGTACTTTGCTGTTTAATAATTTTGTTTTTATAAGGGCCCTCTCAATCTCTGCACACTTCTCAAGTATGGATATATTACTTTTTTGTTTTCTGTAAGATGTTACTACCCTGCTTCCAGATAGCACGTACCAAAGAAACCTTTGCAATAATTTCCAGTTTGTTAATGTTCTTAAAAACTTTGATAATACTTTAAGGTTTAAAAAATCATTTATAAAAACCCAAAATCAAAAACAACCCCAGAAAATTCAGAGCATCAGCAAGTAAAAATGTATTGGTTAAACTTGCAATGTGTTTAATTGTTTCCTTAGCTTCTGCTGTATTTTACTATTAATTTATGAAGATATATTGAGTAACCTGAGTGACTTGCTATTTTCTGCCCTGTGAGAAATGACTGGAAAATTCTGCCTTCTGGACTTGGCACAAATGATGCACTCATATGTTATTAAAATACAAGTATTAAAAGCAACCCTGGTACATTTGAATAAATGTGTTTTTTATCTTTTTAGGACAATTAAAGTAGAAGTGTATGATTGGGATAGAGATGGAAGGTAAGACATTAATTCTAGTGTTAAACTTTAGGGTTATCCATGCATATTTATACACGTTTTAAAATATATAAATATATAGTGGCCAGAACAGGGCTAGAGAATTGTCTTTATCAATATTTAGAGGTACCGGTACTGGGAAAAAAGTTTTGCTGTGCTACAGTTCTGTTTTGTTTTGCAGTTGTGGTAAATGCTGATGTGTTAGCCCGTTTCAAACATGATGTGGGTATATACATACATGGAACGAGCAAGATGGAATGCTTTGCGATCTGTAAGATCAGTTTTGTGAATCTCGTTATGTTACCAGTTAATGTACATGTATGAAAAGAGGGATAATCCATTTTATAATCTTTCTTTTGCTTAAAACACTGCTTCAGAAACTGTTGCTTTTCAAGTATGATAAAATGCCTGAGCCTGCAATTGCTACTTCGTGGCTGCCTAGGTATTGCAATGGAGAAACTACCTATTCATTAGCATAATTTCAGATTAGGTTTAAGTGTTCATTTCCATGCCTGTCTTCATCAAAATGTTGTAAACTCTAGATCTGGAAGACCTGGGTTTTAAATAACTCCATTGCTAGAAAGAGAATTGTGGAAAATACATAGAATTTCTGTTGCTAAATTCAAGAGGGGCAATCTGTTATGATTCAAGCTTGCTGTCTGTACTGAATGTATGTTTTTTTCTGAAGAAAATAGTCTTTCAAATTGCCTTTATTTTGACAAATAAGATGATAGAATTATTTTTTATCAGACTGGATGGATACGTCTCGTTCTTTTAAAAATGTTTGAGCTTGTATCTTAATACTTTGGTTAGAAACTACTCATAAATCATGGTACTAGAACTTGTATGTAATACAAGAATATGTCAATTTCTATTTATCTTTAAGTTGGTCTGTCTTAGTTATTTCTGATTAATCTTAATTTATATTTTTAAATATATGGATATGCACTTACCTTTGGATTTTTAAGAGTGTATTATTTATTATACAGTAATGGCTTTAATATTGTTAATGCAATTTACTGTTAGTATTATAGCTAATGATATTGTGCTTCTGTGACCCGATAGATCTTGTAATCATAATTAGCAAATTTATCCTGTGCTGCCATTCATTTCTTTGCTGACAAGGTCCAAAACCAGTTTCAGCTTTCTCAGCTTATACTTCTGATGTTTTGGTTCCATCATGAAGCCTGTTGATTTATAAGCATTCTTATCATTTGTTTACCCTCTATAAATACCTGCTAGTGCAAATTCATCCTTCTTGATTAGATGTTCCCCAGAGTGACAAAATAACATATTCTAGCAATTAGAAATACAAGTATTTAAATGAACAAAGTCATATTAGCAAAAAATCACTGCATCGATGTAGTGATGAATTTCTATTAACATCCTCTGTTCCTCATTTAGATTTACCAAATCCTTAAAAATGTGAAATATTTTCACTTTTGTGTATAAAATACAATATTTTTTTAAATAATCTAACAATGAAAAATTAAATTATACTACCAAGTTACCTTAATAAAATATAATCTTTATTTTTTATTATCAAACCCTATGTGCTGTCCCATTTCTTCCAACATCTGAAACTAAGGTATGATTAAAAAGAAAAGGAAGAAATCTGACAAATAATATTGTATAGCTGCAGTTGTGAGTGAAAGCTTCAACATACTGTGGAATTCAGGCAATCATTAGCCTCTACACTCTCCCAAAGAGTTTCAAATATCTACTTTTGCTCACATCCCACTCTGAATATGTGTAAAATTAATATCTAAAAAACAAAAAGTGAAGAATACTATTTACATGCATTCTTTTTTATTCTAATTGTATGATTTTTTTTTTTGCCTTTTTCTTTCTACTTTTTAATTTAGAAGCAGGCGGGACACTGACATCTTACCTGTTACATTCCTCAGAAAGATGAGACAGTGCTCATCTCATGTAACTTCAGACAATGTAAAACTCAGACAACTAGATGGAACTAATCATTTAGGTTACTTCAGTAGCTTCCAGGGCAAAATGGTCTGATTGAATCCATCCTAACTGGAATAAATTGCCATTTGGTGGTGCCTATGACTGACTAGTGATTGTAGCAAGAACCTAAGTACCTCATTTAACTTTGACATTGCCAAATGTATCTGAAGTGAATCCCATTCAAGAATTAGTCTGTCAATTTTTTGTACAATGCTGCTGATACTCAGTGTATATTAATTTCCATTTTTGATGGACTCTCTGTTTATAAGCAGATCACTAGCTGATCACCTCACTAGGCTGAATCCATTTGCTCCAGAGATGTGCAGTCAGGGCAGGAACAACCTTTGAAAGATCATCAGAGAGCTTGCTAGATAGCAAAGCGAATTATACTGAAATTGCAGGTTATTCTGCAATCAGTAAGGCAACATTACAGTGCATATACTTGATTTCTTGAATCTTGACTTCTTGAGTTTTGACTTAGAGGGTTTTTTTTTCTTTTTCCCTGTTCTGTGTTATCTGTTCTTTGGGAAAACGTCACCAGGGTGCTTTGGGTTGAGCTTCCTACTGTCACGGTCGTGAATTACATTGTTAAAAGTAATTGTATATTATTAGCTCTCATTTATTTTCAAACATCACTTAACATTTCTTGACTGAAAAGTAATATAGGACCTTTATAACATTAGCACTGTTAATTATTAAACATTTCTTTGTCTCAACCAGTTTTTGCACAAAAATTGTCAAAATATGAACCACTTGTTCTAATTGACACCTTTTATTGCTTCTAAGAGCTGTGACAAACAGCAAAATATTTGATGCTGTAAGAAGTCACAAAAGTTGGTTTTGTTACTTTGGGCAAGCCCACTTGTGTGCAACAGAGTGCCTATTTTTTGTTGAGTGTCTTCACCAATAAAGTACTTGCAGGCAGGTCTTACAGAAGGGAAAAATAAGATGTGCAACTTTACATCAGCAATACTCTGATGTTTTTATTTCTCTTGGAAGGCTTTTTCACTAATTTTAGAGAAATTGTTACTTAGCATACATGGTGCAAAAGCCATTTCACAGTCTTGATGTTTATGATCTGTTACACAGAATTTTTTTTTCTTGAATTTTAAAACTGTAAATATTACTGTCCTAACTTGAGACCATCAAAACATTCATCTGAGAATCTAAACACTGCAGGAGAGATTGTAAATCTCAGATTCTAGGCACTCTCACCCTATCTCTTGTCCTCTGTCTTCATCCTCCTTCTCCAGCTACGTAGTTGATTTCTAAATTATTGCACTTTTCCCCTTACTCACTGACATATTTCTGGTGATGATTTTCCTTTTCTCCATTGTTTTTTTCCTTTAGATCATTAAAAAAAAAAATCAAAGTTAATACAATTCTGAAAGTGATTTTCAGCCCTTCAAAGCATAGTACCAAAAGTGGCAGATTTAGAGAGATGGGGTTCAAGTGGTTCTGATTCAGCGGTCTGATATGCCACTCATGAACAAAAGTCTTTAAGTCTAGGAATATTTGGTATTAAGAAGGCAAAGAGAATAACTTCTTTAGATTCTCAATCCAGAGGCTAATAAGGAGATTCATTTGGCAAAGTGTCATCATGAATGTTGGGAGGGATTGGTGCCTTGTGTATCTTAGCGAGTTATACTTCTGGCAAAGGCAAATGTCTGAGAGGCACTCATCATTCAGAGCCAGCCTAGTGAGTGGGCATACATCTATCTGCATACTCAGTGTTAAGATCCAGTTCGATGATCTTCTAAGTGCAGAGAACTCCGAGACTGGATATAGATGCCCATACCTTTTTAATGTGATTAGCCAGAGGAATTATATCTTTCTAGCTGAGTTCTTGTCAATCTGTGTATATTGTCCCTCAAGTTCCATAGCCTGTATGGATGGCTTCCTCTATTCCCCTGGTTCAATAGTCATTGCAATCTGGAGGGAGTTTTAGAAGAGTCTGTCTGTCTCGGAAAGAATTTCCTGATCTCCAAACTGGAAGGGGAGTGTTTCATGAGAGGTGGTCCCTTCTGAATCTGAGTAATCGGGAATATCTTCACCATCTAGTATTTCTCAAGCTTTCTTACAGGATGCTTTGCTTATTTCATGTGCATTAACATGATAACTGGACCTTTTAATTGTTTGTTTTACATATTTTGTGCATTCATGCTGGTTTCAGAAAATGAGATTTACATTTGGGGTTTGTTTTTTTTCATTTCATTATGAATAAATCAAGAAAGAAATCTCATATTGCTATGGATTATTTCTATTTTTCCTCTTCTTGCAACATTCAGATTTATTTAAATTTGCTTTTAATATTTATAGCTTAATTAGAACTGTGCTATATTTCTTGAAAACAAATTTTACAAGCAATAAAGTCGTAAAATTTTGACTTTCTATTCCAGTTTACCATTGGAGGGAAGGTAAAAGAGTTAGTTTCATAGCTCACCAGATGTGGAGGCAGAGTGTAGAAGAGATAAAACGCCTTGTTAGGGAACAACTGTGAAAACAGAGGGAGATGGGGACAGGGGGACCAGGAGTTGAAGCAGCAGTGAGGAAAGTTCAGCTGGGAGGAGTGGAGAGTGGGAACAGGTCTTGTGCCTTGGGGGTTGTGTAGCAGCTATTAGGCACTCACCCCTGCGGTCGCTTCCATCCCAGGTACCTGTCTGAGATACAAACCTGCAGTTCAGTCACTTCTGGCAGCCCTCTGGTTTCTGTGCCCCAGCTTCCTGGCCCCAGCCACCTTTCTCAGCGATGCTTCATCCACTGCACTCCCTCTGCCCCCCCTGCTCACAGAGGCTCCTTGGCAGCCTGCTGTCCCCTGGTTAAGAGTTGACAAAGCAGTTTTCAAAATGTGGGTGACAGCACAGGAGTGTCAAATGTATTCTTGGAGCAGGAATAGAATTTAGAAAGGAGGAGCTTGGTAACCACTGCTTTAGTGTTAGGTTAGGATCTACTTTCCAGTGGTTTCTAATGCCGTAACCTGAGTAGCCTCAGTGGATTGCTTTTCTCCTCCCAGAGGGGAAGATATAGCAGCTGAAATAAGCTTTGGGTCTTCCCCTTAACAGTACCATTCAACATCACATTACACAAATTGGCAGGGCTGGTCTTTTCTGCTTTAAGTTACTCCTTTCATACTCTTAATACCTCCCTTTCTCTCACATAGTCTCACACGCAGCTCAGAATCTGTTCGGCCAGTGGTCATCCAGTGAGAAAATGGTAATAGTCTTTGATAGTCCACTCTGGTTTTTCAGATTCTGTAAACTTATATTGGGGTCAGATCATTAATTTGCAACCTGGTCCTCACTGTGCACAAAAGTTAAGCAGAAGCCATCAAAAAGATTTAAGCTAATATTTTTCATCTCTAAATTTTTATTACTAATAGAGTGAACACACACCAGAGGGAGAAATAAAGATTTTTAAGCAAATTTCATCTTTTGCCATTGCTTCTTTCTTGGGTGTCAGTTCATGTTGGCTGTGCTTCTCTTTTTCATAAGTAGATGTAATACATATTTAAATTACTAAATGCTGTGCATTTGATGTGAAAACTTGTTTTTTATACAGCCATGATTTCATCGGAGAATTCACGACAAGTTACAGGGAGTTGTCGAGAGGGCAATCTCAGTTCAATGTGTATGAGGTAAGTATTGTATTTACTCACTTTCAGGAAATAATTTAGAACATTTCCATTGTTTTCATGGCAAACTGGTAAAATCTGCACAATGCTTGTCAAAATCAAACTTTGGAGTTATTTAACATTTCTCCTTTTATAAAGAAGAACAGTGAATCTAAATGTGTTGCCTTGTAAAAAGATTTAAAGACAAGTAGGTTTGTGTGCATGTGTACACACTGAGCTGTGGTAGGGCAAGATGAGCATTTCAAGCAGCTGGGTTGGTATGATATAACTTGGCGTAAAGACTGAGTTACGCCCATTTGTGTATGAACAATTTGTGATTTATTTCTCCTTTTGCCAATGGTGACGTGTTGTATGCTATTTTCTCCTATCCAGAGAGTATCTGGTGATTCCTACATCAGATGCAGTCACATGCCTTTGGTCTTAAGTGCAGATTTAGAATCCTTAGAGTTTTGATGCAGGGCTTACAAGTGACAGAGTATTTAGCTTACTTATTGCTAGGGTTTTTCATGTGGTCAGTTACCATCTTTGCTTAAAAATTTGCATCTCGTTTCTGGTTTAGGATTCATGCATCTGCCAGCTACTGGGATTGACAGACAGTTGTCAATTTAATTACAGAGTTTTATATTATTAGATGATTTCTAACTGTGGTAAGACCTTATCGTGTGTTGTAGGTGAATGCGGACTGCATCCACATTCCCTCTTAAGTCTTCTCTCTCTTGTCTTTTCTCCTCAGGGTCACGTGGCCAGAATTGTGCAGGCTTGTTTTTTTTTTCAAATCTAATAAATCCCTATTTTAAGATTTCTTTCTTAATGTAGTCTGGGATTATTGGGATTTGCAAAAAAGTGAACTTTTTTTTCCCCCAAGATCAAACTTTACTGAATATTCAAAATATGCTGTAATTTATTCTCAGAAGCAATCAATGAGTTTGTGCAAACAAAAATTGAGATGCAAAAACTTGAAGTGTCATAAAGGGACTAATTTTTGGCCTTTTTTTTTTAAAAAAAAAAAGGTCCCTTTAAAAATTATCCCAGATTTGGGCACAAAGAATTGACTGGGAAAAAAAAAAGTCGAAGCATTAAGACTCCTGCATTAAAATTTCATTTTTAAATTAATATCCCAGAAGAATCTCAGTGTGGAATGAGAAATGTATCATGAAACTTCAAAATGTGTTAAATAAAGAGAGGCAATAGGAGGAAAAGATTTAAAATGTATTTTGTCACTGAGAAAAAGTATCAACTTACAGACTCCTCCTAAGGAAATACGTTACATTCTGCAGTGTTAAACTCCAGCTGATGTCTTTATAGATCCAAGAAGTTTCATTTTCAATTTTGAGTCCTCATTATTTATATGCATAACTTAGATCACTTCAGGTTTATCTTCAGTAGGTAACAGTGTGTAGTACTGTAACTTCAAGTGCTGTGGATGTGCTCCTCAGCTAGGAGCAGTACAGGTGAGTTAGCGTCACGCTGCATCTGATCTAGTAAGTTCTGCCTAGATTGTCTTAGTCTAAAGATCAGTTCTGGTGCCGATATGACATGGTTATTCTCCTTTTAGGACCAGAGGTAGTAAGTCTACCTACACTATGCTGTATACGCATACTGGCTTGTCTAGGTCCGTGTCAAGTGTCTGCTCTGTATTGCACTGTGAACTTCGAGTTGTCTTCCAGAATTCCTGTAAAAAGAATTTGTTTCTTTCCCATGATAAAACAGGCTCAAGAGTAGCAATTTTCACATGGAAATAAAGCATGTATTCCAGGCATCTGTATATTCCCCTGCGTGAAAATACCTGCTATTGCATTTTCACATATGTATGCCTATGTCCAGCCATTTGTGTTAAAGCTTTTTAGCACCCTCCATCTCACACATGCTCATAGACCAAGTGTGTGGATTGTGCTAGATGCTTTCAGTTTCTCTAAGGTGAAGTGCTGAAGGTTTTGTTCTGTAGGTATTTCACAGCCTCACTTACTGAGATTTGCAGAGAGCTGCCTTTGTTTTATTTTTAACTTCACTATTTTGTTGTCTTTCTCAGTCAGTTCTTTTCTCCTTTTTGCTGTCTTTCATTTCTGGATATGAGCATTCATACAACACAAGAAAACTTCTGCTTAGGCAAGGTACAGTCTGTGCTGTATTTATTGTCCTGAGGTGTTTATATACCGGGAAGAGAGGAACCTTAGAACTGAGTTTGAGTATGAAGTTCATATTCCCTGCTTCAGATCATGGAGTCATCAACCCAAAGAACTGTGTGTTATAGGTACACTTTTTTGCTGTGCGTTTTTTTATGATTTTCAGATGGTATATCTGTCTGATAACTCTTTGACAGATCATTTATAAGAATAAACTGATTATAAAATATGAGATCTTTTGTCCTTGTCAGACTTCACAAATAGTATTAAACACAGAAGTGGTCCAGTTTTGAGTTGAGTTGTGTTTTCCTTTCTTTCACATTGAAGAGGCCATTGTCTTCTCTCTAATGAACTTGCAAGATGTTTGTATCAGCTGAGTGATGAACATAACCAGGAAAATACAGCATCTGCCAAAGTGCCTAAGGGAAAGATAGGAAAGGTGGCAGTGCATCCTACCAGAAGTTGCCTTTGTTTTGCCTTGGTTCTTGGAGCCTCGCTCTTTTGGGTTAGACCTTGACTCTTAGCCTCATGCTATAGATTGCGGTCAACACACCACAGGACAAATGCCCATTCCTAGGTCTGATTTTTCGAATTATTCTAGTTAAAAGCAGCCCTCTCTTGGAAAATGTCATCATACACAGAGCCCTCCTGCTCTCTAGAAGTTCTGGTAGCATAAAATCAGTCCTCTTGCTGCATCAGCAGCTTCAATCCTTATCTTATGTAGTGCAGACTAAGTATAAGAACTGAAGATAAAGTGGGGCACTTAGCTCCCCCCTTCCCCCCCCCCTCCCCCGTTTTGGAAGTCCCTAAAAGTATTTTTTCTTTCTCATATTTTGGAGCTCCTTCCCAGCTTCTACCTGGGACATTGTGTGTGATATTTTTCTTGGTATTTCTTTAGTGACTCTATCCTTGACCTCCAGTGTTACCAGAAGTCAGGATTTGTATCTTATCCCTCCCTTGCCACCTTCCCCAGGGGAAAGTAATATCTAAGACTCCCCAACATCAACAATGGTCATATATGCCATCCAAAAAAAACAAGAATAGCTTTTTCCACCAAATCTCCCTTTAATGTCATCTTGTTAGTATGAGCATTTTCTCTTTCAAATTAACAGCCAATTTGCTTTCAAATTATTACGCAGGTAACAGGCACTTCTGCTATATGATGCCATCTGGTGACTTGTGGATTCGTATGGGCTGTAGTTGCTTTTGGGATGGTTCCACAATTAGCTGTCTTGAGGCTGCAGTTCTATTCCCTCTTCATCCATTCTGGTAGGAGAGCCTATTCCTGAATTTAGCCTCACATATGTGTCCAGATTGGTGAAACTCCTGGCAAGCCTGGAGTCTGCAAGATCTTCATTGATGCAATCTGAATCCCATGATCAGAACTTCTTTCAGTTCTGCTTCTCCCAAGGGTGATTCAGATGTAAGAGAAACCCGGCTAATTAGTCATCATTATCCTGGTAGACAGTTTAATTTCAAGACCTCTTACATCCCTCAGAATAAATTCTTAAGACCTTCTCCTGGGTTTTAGGTATGCTTTTTGAAGGATTTAGGTCAGCTTCTGTATTTGCACCATGAGTTCCAGCATCATGCAGTTCACATGCATGGTATCTCTCCGAACTGAAATGTGTTTTTTCTTCCTCATGGAAATATATTCTTCCTAATCATGAGAAGATAAGCATATGTGGCTATAGCCTGGTTTTTTTCTGTATGGTGTGCAGATCTTTTTACTCCTTATGCTATCCTTAATTGGTCTCAGACTACTGCCATTAAACATCAGTATTTTGAAAAATGTCATATTCCTAATATAGGTGATCACAAATATGATGGTTTAGGCAAGCACTGATGCAAGGTAGGGATGAAGGGTGCTGCAATTATGTGCTGCACTTGTATTTTGAAGATGAGCAAAGGTGCTGCTGTGCAAAGCAGAACAAAGATAACCGAAAGCCATGGGTTGTTGGGGTTTTTTTTCTTATTTAGATCCAGGATCAACCCCAGAGTTACTGTAATTTACAGCAGTTTCCTGTGGATAGTGTCACAGCACAGATTACTGTGTTCAGTGAAAATGTCCTCTCTTGTTGTATCACTGACGTGACTCCTGCCTACCAGGAATATTCTGTCATAACATTTTAAGTCATTTTGCAGTTTCTGAAATATGGTATCAATATCTTACTCCCAGCAATAGCATACATTTCCTGAGCATTCTGGGTTTGCCTCTCCGAATTGGTACTGCTTCTCTTTGATCAGTCTGTGCAATATCAGAACAAAAGAGAATGGACAAATTCTTTTTTGACTGTTTTGCATTTACAAACTGACCCAAGGCAGGAAGGGAAATTTGTGTTTGAGTGGGTGTCCCATATTTTCAGATTACAAGCATTGCCATAACAAGCTGGTTTCAATTGACCTTTTTTTTTTTTAATAGGTAAGAGTTCCTGTAGCTTCCTAGGTTACTGCAGGGGTGTAAGACCTTCAGAGGCTAAAAAATGTTGGTTTATTTATAAAGTTATCTGAAATTTGAGGGGAAAAAAGCACATAATAATTATAGTAGCTGGAATTATAAGAGACAAGCTGTGATTTAATTCATCTTTGATCCCAAGTAGATGCTTTGTTTCCTATAATATTTCACTCCAAAATCTAGTGCATTTCCTAGCAATTCCTAAGAAGCCAGTTGTCAAGATACCTGAAGCAGAAGATTCAGATGAATCTCCTTTTTGGTATTTAATGACTGCTGGCAAGAAATATGCTGCTAACTTAAGCCTGACCACTGGATTCTGGAGAGTTGTGAATGAAGGGCCACAGGGCAAGCAGGCAGTCTGTTACCTTCGTCTTCCTCTTCTGGGCAATTAGCAGGACTCACTTTCTGGCTAAGATTCTGGTTTAACAAGAATTATTGCATTGTGTATAAACCACCATTGTGGGGATTTAATCCATTGGTCACCAGTCAAGACACTGGTAATAGGAGGGACAGGGGTTGTTTGGGGTTTTTTAAGTGTTAAAGGGCTTATGTATGTGTAAGGCAGTAAAAGCTTTGAAGAATACTTACTGAATAATTGTGTGGCATACTGAAGAGAGAGTCACTCTCGTTTAGCCTGTTTGGGAAGACTTCAAATAATAGTTACCTCTTTCTGCCTTACATTTCACAGCTGTTCTATGTTGTACCAGGAATATGGTCTTTAAATGTAATTTCATTTTGGTTGGGGGGAGAGAATTTTTGGAAGACATGTTTTACTATTTTTCCCATTTTCAGGCAAAATTGTTTAAATATTTTATAGCAGTTAAGTGACTAAGATTTCAATTGGGAATGTTTTTATTCCTTGTCATTCACAGAACATCTGTGAGTAGTTTACAGTAAAACTTGGCCGTAAGCCACAAGGATTTGAGTTTCCTAGTTATATAGGATATAGTTGATCAACCTAATGAACAAAATAATGTTTTAATGTTTTGCTTCCAAAATTTTGAAAAAGCAGGAGTACATTTTAATGTGTACCTAGTGAAACTGTCTGAGACTTGCCTTTGAATAGGTAGGTATTCAGAAGGGAAACAATTTTTATTGGTGGCTACAGTGGGAAATTCTATAGGTGTGGGCTCAAGACATTGAAGACAACTGTTTAATGCTTCGCAGTCCAGTTCTGTGAAGATTCTTGTGTATGGGGAGTGCACTGAGCCCCCACAACTCCTGTCTGCCAGTCAGCTGGTGGTCTGTGTCATTTTTGTGAAATTACTAACCAGTTTCTATTCTGGGACAGTGTGATCTGTCCCTCCAATTGCTCTTCCTGTCAGCCAGATCCTGTCATTGCACCAAATACAGAATCTAGGAGTAGAAAAACTCTCATGTTTCTCAGGTAATACTGTGGAGGGGACGGACGCAGATTAACTGGAATGTGAAGAGGTGCACTGTGAGATGAAGAAGTGGTGACATGGTAAACTGGAGCGTTGGAACCAAGAATGCAGAAAAATGCAGAATCTTGTGAAAATTCAAAGAAGTGTTTTGCTGAGCACTCAGATTTAATTAACACTCTCACCTCTGTTGCCCCAGTCCCCTATTTGTCAAACGTGAATAACAGCACTAGCTTACCTAGCAGGTACCACAGAGATAAATTCACTGGTTTTCAACTATGCATATATCCCAGCATTGAGGTGCATAAGTAGACAGTATGCTGAATAAATTTAGAATCCACTGAAAGTAGACTGCTTTCTGCATTGAAAGTATCTTAATACTTACCTTTACGTTAAATCATAAGTCATACTGCTTTAATATTTGTATCTGTGTTTCTAGGTAATAAATCCAAAGAAAAAAGGAAAAAAGAAAAAGTATATTAATTCTGGAACAGTAAGTAAATATATTTTATGTTACTGGTTGCTTTTCTTTTCTCTTAAAACAGAGTATAATGGACTTGTAATTTAACAGGATTAGAACAGAACCTTCTGTGAAGGCCACAACAATAAACTATTTACTGTTATACAGCATTTGTTTTCATGTTTTTTTAATTTGAAGAGCCTGATAAAAGCTGTGTCCAAGTGTGCTGTTAAGTTGCCAAGGATTTCCAAAATGAATTATACCAAAATTTCAGTCAAATTCTTGAAATTATTGGACTGAACACTATTATTTTTTGTCTGAAACATATCTGCACTTTTAAAAGAAAATTTTCTTTTTTAATTTAACTGCTGAGCTATCATCAGTAAAAGCTAGTATGCTTATCATGGGTAAACCAAAAAGAGTCAACATTTTTTATTACCAACAGGTTTTTGTAAATTTATGTTAGAAGATCTATTAGTATAGTTTGTCCTCTGTTCGTATTCCATATTCTGTTTTATGAATTATTTGCTAGCAATGCAAATAATTCCCCTCAGCACTTTCTCAGCTTCCATGTTCTGGCATCCATGATGTTCAAAACATAGTTTACAAAAAAATGAAGATAAATGTGGAAGAATTGTATATTGGAAAACCTAATCAGATATGATATGGTTTTTGAAAATACATCCAGCACGTGGGGTTTTTTTCCACGTGAACAGTTCCACTGAAGTCAGTAGGGCTACTTCCACTCTGAACTGTCACCTTGAAGGAATGTTTTATCATTCTCACATTTTTGTATAAGTCTGTTCATCAGTAGGAAAGTAAACACTTATTTTGTACCTCTGCTTTGAATTGTAAAAAATAGGCAGAAGCAGCATGTCCATGAAAAGTTGCCATAAAGATCTGATTCATTAGATAATTTATTTTTTGCTAACGTATTCCTTTTACTACAATTTAGCATGTTAAAATAAAGTTCTATTATGTTAAATTAGTGAGTCAGAAACTTAGGAAAAGTGATTATTTTAAATCAATACTAAAAGTAAGAGTACTCAAAATTGTAGGTATGAAATCTGGCTTAGGGGGCAGAATAGCAAAAAATGCATTTACATGTTCCATTTTCCTGTTGATTTTGGTTTTAAATATTTTAACATCTTCACATGTATCTGCATTTGAAAGAACGTATTTTACTCATGTTTGGACAGACAAAATCAACTGTGTCCTTTGTCTCAAATTACATGGAAATTTCCAATAAACGGTTAGCAATTTTCTTTCCTCTTCCCTTCTCTACCTGTGTTCTCTATTGTTGGTTTTGTAATTTCTTTTCCTTATCAAGTCCTCTTTGCCCCCATTTGCTCTTACTTCTATTAGTCCTTCAGGCTTCCCTTATGCTTCTCCAAATTGTCACTTTCCTGTGTGTTTGCGTGCAGTTTTGGTTTTCTTCTCCCTGTCATTCACCCAAGATATTCTTTATCCCACAGATGTCTGAATTTCCAAACCAGGCATCAAGACCATCATTCTCACTAATAGGAAGTTGGCTTCTGGAAAACTTTAAATGAAGTGGATATAGATTATTGACTGCTGTCTCACTGCTGCTTTTAAGGACTATGTACATACAGCACCCATCTCAATTCATTAATACTTAAGGGATCATTTTAAATTCAGACAAACTACATACTAAGCAGAAATGTTTCAGAATACGTGATTAGTCTTAAAGAAAGCAAAAAGTAGTGAAATTTAAAACTCAGTGTATAAAACTTGGAACATTGGTAGTCATTGTCGGTATGGAAGTAAATACTTTGGCCACTTTGGAAGGATGTTATCTGTTTCCATTTTTTTACCTTTTTTAATTAGACATTTGCTTAAACTAATAAGGAGCAAGATGACCAGCCTCAATAACAGATGAACCATTAAAATTACTGTGTCCAGTGGGAAAATGCATAGAAATTTCAGTCTTATATGCATGACTATGCTACTGATAGTCTGGTAGAACTTGGTTATGGTCTTCTGTTCTCAACTAGAAGGGTAATCTGATGATTTTAAACTTTGCAAGTCAGTAAGAATCATGGAGAACCTGTGACAAAGGAAGTAAGGTAGAAGACAGAATTACTACCTGTAATCTCATTCTGAGTCCAAGTTTACAACATAGGAATATTTTCAATTTTTATATTTTGCTGCAGTTGGAGGCAAATCAAATTTTGTGACAAACTTTCATCTCCTTTTTATTCCTTGTATCATTATCAGTGAATTTGCTTTGGGTAGTTACTTAACCGGTTTTCACTGACTACCTGATGCACTTATGTTGTGAGAGAGTTTTGTGTCACTTTGTAAATAAAACAAAAATAATTTGGATTGAATCCTTTGCTTCATAAATGTTGTGCAGTATAGGAAGATCTTGAATGCTGGATCTTTTCCACTTGTTTATACTTCTGTGACTCGAATGCTGGAAATGCCAGTAACACCTGTAGACTACTGTCTGTGTTTTGGACCTATATCATTTCTGAATGATAAAAGCTGGGACTAGAGAAATTTCTTATCTTTGCATTTTTTATATATTCCAGTTTAAATTTTTTATATATTTCATATATATGTATAATTTACTAGATTTTTGCATTCTTGGCTTGCATCAATCCTCAATACCACTTTCAATGTGAGATGATAAATGACATAAATAATTGTAATTGTGTTCTTTAAACAGTGTTGGAGTACTCATAGAATAGATGCATTATCATCTAGCCTCTCATATTTGTGTGCAGTGATCAGAAGACATGCATGTGGTAACCTGCCCTGGAATACAATCTGCCATCCCCTACCTTTTTCTTTAAAAAAAAAAAAAAAAAAAAAAAAAAAAAGAGCCCTCCTACAGTATTAGAAGTAACTGTAGTAGACTTCCAAATTTGTCTCTTCCCTTTCAAGAACTGCTTATTGAAATGGTTGCATTTTGTTTTAATCTTTTTTTTTTCCCCTAATACTGTAGGAAATTACATCTCCAAAAATATTGTGCTTATGTCTCTACTTGTTCAGCGCGGAAATGACAATTCATGTCTGACTCTCTTTTATTTGCTTTCAGGTAACATTGCTTTCCTTCCTAATTGAAACAGAAGTTTCATTCCTTGACTATATTAAAGGCGGGTATGTTATTAGCAACAAATCTTTCTTGTTTTCACAGTCTCGTTGTAATTCACTAGTAATTTATATATGTACTTTGCGTATGATGACTCTAAGTAGAATCTGTAAAGAGCTGGAGTGTTTCCTCATTTTAGAGGCTGTGCTTTCCTACATAAAACCTGCAGATAGTTACTGATGTAAGTTAAGTTATGGAACTTTGCTTATAAAGTTGGAATCGGTGTTGGTACAAAAAAACACTGAGATTGAGTAATGACCTCTGATCAGCTGGTGAAAACTGGATTAACTGAAAGGGAATTATCTATATACTATTAAATTAGTAAAATGCTGTTTTATTTCTTCTGATTACACTGACCTTTGGTGCATTTAATGTTGGTATTTATTTAGAGCCTTTCCCCTTCAAAGGCATTTTTTCAATACTAATTATGTAAAATTTCTAACACATTCAATTTCTCATTTATCGTCATTTTCCCAAAAGGGAAGTAGAGACAGAAGCATCAAATGGCTTACCCTAGAATGTACCTGGAAATGGGATTGAATCTCAGAAATTCCTGGCTCTTAACCTTCCTGCCAGAGCACAATTCTTCTCTAAGATAAATGGAAATAATTTGTTATACATTCCTAGGCACTTAATATGGATTTTTGAGGCATACAGTCTGAATATACATTCCACATTTATTTTATAGCATTGATTACCTGTGAAGAAGCAAGTTACCTTTTTTTGTGCCAGTCTTCAACCAGGCTTTAGCTGAAATAAAAAAGTCTATGTTGTGTTTTGGCAATAGCAATATAGGGCTTTGTCTTCGTTCCCAACCGTGGTAATCCTACAGATGAGAATGTGTTTATGGTTTATTCCTAACACATTCATCACTGAAGTTCACTAAGTTGAAGTGATGCCCCCAACCATAATAGTTAGCTACAGAGAAACTGTCAGTAAGCTGTCTCGACTGCCATTGCATTCAAGGTTTTGAAAAACCGCATCCTGGGGTTGTACTCCATACTGCACTGATAACTTGTAGAGGGAATGGAGCACTGGTAAGATGTACTCCAGACTGGTGACCCTAACCCATGGGTTGCTGCAGAGTGTAATTTTTTTTTCTCTCTCAAGTACTAACAGCCTCTTTGATGTTTCAGTTCTCCCAAACAGTTAAATTTTAAAGTTAGAAAATCCAAATTCACTGCTATTGGATCTCCATCCAAGAAAATAAATATTTTCACTAAGGGTGAATTCAGTCTGTTACGTATCTCAAAATACTGTGTCTTTTGGTTCATTAAGATTAAACCTGACAAGAATATTTTATGCATGGTAATTTAAAAAGGGAATGCTTAATTAGGGTTTTTAGCATGGATGTAGACATATACTCTTTAAAATTCTTATTCAGTATCTTTAGAGAAAGTTGTGATTTGACTTGCTCATTTGCTTGCTCTTTGGTGGCTGAACATATTTTCTCATTTGGATAAGATGCAGAGCCTCCACAATGTTTCAGATTTGATTGTTTGATATTTCAATTCGACGGGTTATGGGTGACCTTCAGAGGGAGTTGTATAGGCCCGTCATTCAGGTGTGTAAGTCGTGGGACACGTTAGTGTAGGGAGGTAGTGGGAAGTAGTGGGACACATTCATGTAGGCTGTGTGAGGAGCAGCCATCCCTCCCCAGAATGGCCGGGGAGCTGGCAGCGGAGCTTGGGAGCATGGCTGGCAGGGCAGGGTCTCACCAGCCAGGGCCCAGCTGTACGATACACAGGCAAGGCAAGCAGGGCAGGCCCAGAGATGGTGGCCAGGCTCAATTAAGAGTCCAGATCATCAGGGAAATTTGTGGTGATGAGGCAGACTGAGGTCAGGCGGGGAAGGCAAACCCCAGATCTGGGTCAGGATCAGATCCAGCGATTGCCAGGGAGGCCTACGGTGGACAGGGCAGGGAGGTAGAGCCAGGAAGTCAGTCCATGGGTCAGGATCTGGATTAATGGAGCCCATGGCCAGGCATGGGCTTGGCTGAACTGAAGACCCATACTCCTCTGACATAGCTCAGGCAGGCACTGAAGGTTGAGATGAAATGGGGCTCTTGAGACAATGGGGGGAAATGTGGTGGAGGGCTGAGGTGAATCTGTTTAGAGCCATTAAAAGACTTTTTAGTACACTCAGGACCCCTCCGCTTTGTTCTAGGATGCTTCTGGACTGCAAACTATCAAGCTCTTCTAGAATTGCTATCCTTACCTCCAGTTCAGTTCAGTTAACTGGAAGCAACTGCTGCTGGAATGCTTCCTGTCTACATTTGCACTCTTTGGATCCTACAGTTTCTCCCAGAGAGGATTTAATTCAGTTGTTGACTGCATTAGATCCATTACAGTTTAGCAAAGGTAAAACTTCCTAATATAGGTCAGGCATGCTGTCAAAGTACTACCGCATCTTTAACATCTGAAGAATATGTTGACTCTATATGCTATAAAGAATTCTATCAGCACATTTGCTTGACAAGCTGTTCCGAGGCACCTAGATTGCCATGGTTAGGAAACCAGTTATTTCTGTGTTTCTGAGTCCATTTCTAATGATCAGTACGGTTTGCTGTGCCTGCTTTGAATCACTGCCAGTAGCAGGTAGCTACAGAAGAGCACTTGGAGCATCAAGGTTCTGGATGTGATTTCATAGAATCATAGAATGGTTTGGATTGGAAGGGACTTCAAAGATCATCTAGTTCCAACCCCCCTGCTGTGGGCAGGGACACCCTCCACTAGACCAGGTTGACCAAAGCCCCATCCAACCTGGCCTTCAACACTTCCAGGGAGGGGGCCTGCACAGCTTCTCTGGGCAACCTGTTCCAGTGCGTCAGCACTCTAACGGTAAAGAATTTCTTTCTAACATCTAATCTAAACCTACCTTCCTTCAGCTTAAACCCATTACCCCTTGTCCTGTCACTACATTCCCTCATAAACAGTCCCTCACTATCTTTCCTGTAGGCCCCTTCAGGTACTGGTAAGCTGCAATTAGATCTCCCTGGAGCCTTCTCTTCTCCAGGCTGAACAACCCCAACTCTCTCAGCCTGTCCTCATTGGAGAGGCGCTCCAGCCCTCTGATCAGCTTCATGGCCCTCCTCCAGACTCGCTCCAACAGCTCCATGTCTTTCTTGTACTGGGGCCCCCAGTACAAGACCCCGGTACTCCAGGTGGGGTCTCACCAGAGCGG